ACCTGCCCAGCCTCATTTATAACCAGTGTGAAGCGGCTGTGTGCAGCCCTGGCAGAGGGAAAGCAGGCAGGCTCCCTGCCCTGGCAGGACCTGGTTGCTGTGACAGTTGCTGCCAGCTCAGCAGAAGGAGCACACTGCCCTCCGGTCATGGAGTCTTGGAAACCGGGGCTCGGCCAGGGACACCTGGGCTTAGGGGACTGTGGCCTGCAGACAGTTGGGGGAAAGGCTTTCCAGGCAAGGAGACAGCAGGGGCTGTCCTAGTGGGTGGCATGAAACTGTGGTCTCCCTGGAAAGGTTAAGGAAGAGCAGCTCAAGGGGTTCCATATACTCTGCTCAGGAGCGGGGCTTCACAGTGGTACTAAGGCGGCCCTAGTGACCTGACCTACAAGGTCGAGGTTGGGGCTTCTGTTAGTTACCTAAGGGATATTACCAGGACAGGCAGCAGCCCTGGTGGCAAGATGATGCCTCCAGGTCTCCACCTTCCCTCTCTTTCCACCTTTCCACAATTTCTCCCTCCCTCTCTCCCTCTTTCCACCCTCCCTTTCTCCACCTTCCCTCTCCCTCCCTCTCTCCACCTTCCCTCTCCCTCCCTCTCTCCACCTTCCCTCTCCCTCTCACCACCTTCCCTCTCCCTCCCTCTCTCCACCTTCCCTGTCCCTCCCTCTCTCCACCTTCCCTCTCCCTCTCACCACCTTCCCTCTCCCTCCCTCTCTCCACCTTCCCTCTTCCTCTCACCACCTTCCCTCTCCCTCCCTCTCTCCACCTTCCCTCTCTCTCCCTCTCTCCACCTTCCCTCTCTCTCCCTCTCTCCACCTTCCCTCTCCCTCCCTCTCTCCACCTTCCCTCTCTCTCCCTCTCTCCACCTTCCCCCTCTCTCCCTCTCTCCACCTTTCCTCTCCCTCTCTCCACCTTCCCTCTCCCTCTCTCCACCTTCCCTCTCCCTCTCTCCACCTTCCCTCTCCCTCCCTCTCTCCACCTTCCCTCTCTCTCCCTCTCTCCACCTTCCCCCTCTCTCCCTCTCTCCACCTTTCCTCTCCCTCTCTCCACCTTCCCTCTCCCTCTCTCCACCTTCCCTCTCCCTCTCTCCACCTTCCCTCTCTCTCCCTCTCTCCACCTTCCCCCTCTCTCCCTCTCTCCACCTTTCCTCTCCCTCTCTCCACCTTTCCTCTCCCTCTCTCCACCTTCCCTCTCCCTCTCTCCACCTTCCCTCTCTCTCCCTCTCTCCACCTTCCCTCTCTCTCCCTCTCTCCACCTTCCCTCTCTCTCCCTCTCCCCACCTTCCCTCCCTCTCTCTCTCCACCTTTTCTCCCTCTCTCCACCTTACCTCTCTCTCCCTCCCTCCACCTCATGCTATCTGGGTCTCCATCTGATTTCTAGGTCCTGTTTGAGATTTTGCTCTTTCTGTTCCCGGGCCTCCTCGTCACCACTCTGTGCACCTCTGGATCCCTGTCCTTCCTTCAACCCAGAGCTCTGTCTCTGGACTTCAGTGGCAATCTCTGAATTTCTCTCCTCCCTCAAGTCAAAAAGTCATCATACCTGGGAGGCTCCTCTGAGTGGCTGAACTACCCCAGGATGCATAACAAGTCTGTTGCCTCAATTTTATCCCTGATCCTCTGAGTCAACCCCGTTTGAAAATGACAGCCTTTGCTGATCTCTGCATATTGGTCTGCCAGGGAAGGACTGGTGGTCCACAACACTGTTCAGAATCCCCCATCTCCCTTGGCCAAAATATCTGGCATCTACCAGTGGGGCTGTGGCACCGAGGGTGTGAATCTCAGGAAAGGAATCTGAGTCACGTGGCCCTGCAGCCCTCATATGCTCAGAACAGAGGTTCTCAAAATTTAATATGCTTCAGAATTCTACAGAGGGCTTGTTAAAACATAGTTGCTGGGCCCAGAGTTTCTGATTCAGTCTAGGGTGGGGCTCAAAAATGTGCATTTCAAACAAGTTCCCAGGTGATGGGTATGTGGCTGATCCAAGGCCACATTTGAGAAGCTTTGCTCTAGAAAAGTGTAAGTGGCCCTTAGGCCAGGCGCAGTAGCACACACCTGTAATCTTAGCTGCTCAGGAGGCTGAGACAGGAGAATCGCTTGAACCAGAAGGCAGAGGTGGCAGTGAACTGAGATTGTGCCATTGCACTCCAGCCTGGCCCACAGAGCGAGACGCTGTCTAAAAAAATTAATTAAGTGGCTCTTGGTTAGCTGTATGTTGGAATCATCAGGAGTTTGAAAAATTACTTAGTGGGGTGTGATGACGCACCACATATGTAGTCCCAGCTATTCGGGAGGCTGAGGCAGGAGAATCACTTGAACACAGGAGGCAGAGAGATTGTACCACTCCACTCCAGCCTCCAACCTGGGCAACAGAGAGAGACTCTGTCTCAAAAAAAAAAAAAAAAAAAAGAAGAAGAAAAGAAAAGAAAAACAATTACCGATGTGTCTGGCTTCCACCCGTGGAGACTGATGTTAAAACATCAACTTTTGGCCAGGCGTGGTGTTTCACGCCTGTAATAGCACTTTGGGAGGCTGAAGCGGGTGGATCACCTGAGGTTAGGAGTTCAAGACCAGCTTGGCCAACATGGTGAAACCCTGTCTTTAAAAAAATAAAAAATAAAAAATAAAAAAATTAACTCTTTTCTTGTTTCTTGAGAAGGAGTCTTGTTCTGTCACCCACGCTGGAGTACAGTGGCGTGATTACAAGGGTGCTCCACCATGCCCGGGGAATTTTTGTATTTTTAGTAGAGACAGGGTTTCACCATGTTGGCCAGGTTGGTCTCAAACTCCTGGCCTCAAGTGAGCCGCCTGCCTTGGCCTTCCACAGTGCTAGGATTACAGGCATGAGCCACCAAGCCCAGCCTGGATTTTTTTTTTTTTTTTTTTTTTTTTTTTTTTTTTTTTTTTTTTAAGTTCCTCAGGTGATTCCGATGTGCAGCCAAGTTTGAAAGTCATCACTCTGGATCCTCGATGTGCAAAGTGTGCACTGTGGACCGTGTGCATCTCCGGGGCACTTGTTAGAAAAGCAGAATTTTCATTTTAACAAATTCCCTGATCCCAGGGAACTCTTGAGAAGCACTACTTTGTCCAGGAACCACACTTTGAATAGCAAAGCTCTATAACAGTAACTACCAAACGGCAATGAACACGGGGATTACCGGGAAGTTTGTGAAAATACAGATCCCCAGGCTTCATTCCCGTTGTCTGTGTGTGAGCCTAAGAAAATGCATTTTTGCAAGCATGCCTCCCTCTCTTGCCTCAAGCCATTCTGATGCGGGTGGTGCTGAACCGCTCCATACTAGTTCACGTTCACTTCTGCCCTGGATTTCTCTTACTTCCCACCACCTAGAGAGGAAGGGGCGGATCTGGCTTCCCATCTCGATTGTGTGACCCTGAGCAAATGCCTCCCAGTTCGTGCAAGCCTCAGTTTCTAGGTTTTCAATCACAAGTGATTCCTCGCCTTCATCCATCTATTCCTTTGGCAAGTGGTTACTGATTACTTCCTGCGTGCGAAGTGCTGGAGATGCAAAATCCAGACAATGAAACCGAATAATTACGAAAATGACGGTAGACGTGCAAAAATAAATCCTAACCAGCAAGACGCACATGAGCGCTCAGCCCGGGAGGTCAGAGTTGTTTTCTCCCCAGGAAGACAACGGAGCTGAGACCTGAAACGAGCAGGCATTAGGAAGCCACCTATCTCCGCTGTACCTTCTGCAGCGTCCTTAACACACTAAGGAAACTGAGGTGCAGAGGAGAATGACTGTCCCCATGTGGTCACGTAACCAGGCAGAGGCAGGACAAAAACTCCGTACCTCGCGCTTCCCAACCAACTCTGCTATGCACAGAGCCAGTGGCTTAGAAGCACTGTGTCTGGTCCCTTCCTTCTTTCACTCAACAAATAATGAATTTCAGAGATGTGGCAACACAGAGGCACTTGGAGAAAGACGGGGCAGCTGAGAGCCGGGGAGCAGCCAGCCCTCCTGGCCGGGACGCAAGGGATGCACCCAAGTCCCACGTCTGCCGACTACACTCTAGTTCACACGCTCTATGAGCAGCTACCGCCCACTCGCCACGCTATTGGCCAAACTGGCATGAATGACAACCCTTAGGGCCAACGAAGATAAAGGGGTGGACTTTCTTGCCCAGCTCCTCCCCCTTGGCCCAGTGGCTGTTTTGATTGGCAGATAACTTCGGCTCGGCCCCCGCTTTGAAGGCACCTGTCTGTCTCCCAGTAGGTACACGGCCCCTAACGCCCACACTCCATGCCTTCCTCCGCTTTCCCCACCCACCTCCAGGACCAACCAATGACTTCAAGGCAGAATATGGCCCCGCAACCAATTAAAAAGAGCTCTAAACTTGACGGACGACTTCCCGCCCCTGGACTGTCCTAGCTCCTCCCCCGGACCAATTGTTTTAAGAGAGGGGGGCGGATACATCCAATTAGCACGACACAGGTTTCTTGATTGACGCTCGGGTCCTCGCGCTGGCGTGTTGTGCCCCGAGGCGGGAGGAGGAGGAGGAGCCGGGAGGAAAAACTGAGCCAATCCTAGCAGGCTGCGCGGGAGGCCAATCGAACGCCGCGCCTTGGAGTGATTACCCAATCCGCGAAAGGGGGCAGGGCGCATCCCTACCAGGAACCAATAGAACGCCCCCAAAGGTCAGGAGCGACGTTCAGCGGGAGCAATGACAGGCCTATATTCGGGGCTCGGGGGCGGGTCGGCGCCAGAGACTAGAAGAGAGGAGGGGAGGCTTCCTCCGCCGCCGCCATCTTGGACCGGGCCCGGTCAGCTTCCGCGGAGCCATCGGCAGACGCCGCGGCGTCCCTTGAGCCCCGACCCCCGTCGTCAGAACAACCCCGGGCCCACTCCCCCAATCCCACTTCCGCTTCGCGCCGCTATCGCGATAGCGCCCGGGCCCGGGGCGCGAGAAAAAGGCGGCGGGCGCTCGCCTCCCCCGCCTGTCGCGATACGCTCCTCAGCGGCGGCGCCAGCTCCTGTGGTGAGAGCGTCAGGCTCGACTGGGCCGGACCCCTTCCCCTCCTCCCTCCCGGCACCACCGGCCACCCTCCTTGCCGCCTCCCGCCCTGGCGACACCGCCGTCTGTCGCGACATGGTCTCTCCTCGCCCGCCCCCTGCCGCCGCCTCTGCAGCGCGGGGTTCCCCGCGGGGGGCGGCTCCCTCCCTCTCGCCCTCCCGCTCTTCCGCCTCCTTCAAGCCCTTCACCGCCGCCCGGGGGTCTTTCCGCGACCCGGACCCCGGGCCCCGCCCGCCGCCGCCTCCCCGCGTGGCATCGCGTCGGGCCCCCCGGTGGGGGTGTGAGGGTGCGAAGCCTCCCGGGCGCGAGGTGCCCGCCCCTCTCCGCGTCGGTATTGGCTCCTGGCTGGAAGGATGGAGGCGCCCCTGGTCCCAGGTGCCCGCCCTCTCGGGCTCAGGTGCCTGCCCCCCTCGGCCTCGGTCCTTCGCGTTGGGGCAGTCTCCGCGCCGGGGCTTCTCTTCTCCCTCGACGGTAGCGTGGGGGGTGCTAGCCCCCCGGGACGAGGACCCCCCTGGGTGGCGGGGGGGTCCCCCTTCCCGGGGCCGAGGCGGCCCTCTGCACCCCTCTTCACTGCTCCCCGGAGCGCAGCTTCCCCTGGGTCTCAGGTTCCAGCCGCCCCTCCGTATCGGATGGGGGCGTCTTCCTAGAGGAGTGGAGGAGAAACTCCTCGATAGTTGGAGCCTCAGCCGAAGTTTCCACCTGTGTAGTCTCAGCAGTTCCCTCCCTCAGCGAGAAGTGCCCTGGGTGGCTCAAGCCTCCCCGTCCCGCAGCACCGGGCGCTTGCCTTTCTGGGGAGTCTGGCTCTCCTCGCACTGGGTTCCAGGACCGTCCTCAGCGTGGCCCACGGCTGGCCTCAGCTCTCACACTGGACTGTGGTGTCTGCCTCAGGCTTTGCATCCTGACTCTCTGGCTTTCTGGGTGTGGGCCTCTCCCCGTGAGGTCAGGGCCACTGTGGTCCTGGTGCTGGGGGCTGCTGGGCTCCCCCAGCGCTCGGGCGCCTGGTGAAGGACACGAAGCCCCCACACTTTCCACGTTAAGTGGGCTCCCACTGCGGGCAGCGCTAGCGCTTCTTTCGAGGCAGCCCCTGCTTCTCAGTGTAGCGTGGTCACCCTCTCACCCCGGGGTGAGCTCTCTTGGACTTTTGCTGAGGGCTTTTGGTGTCTTCCCTCACTCCCTTTGCCCCTGCCTGGGTACGAGGCTTTTTCCCCCTTCACGCTAGTCTCCTCCTTTGGCGTGTCATCACTCCAGGGGCCAGGAGGCCCACTGCCCTTGCTGTTGGCATCAGCTTCCCCACTGGGGGTTTGCTGTCTTCCCGTCCACCCTCACACTGGATGTCAGCAGTTGGAGAACAAGGGTTGCGCCTCCCCACCCCCATGCTGGTACCCCATGGGAGTAAGAAGCTTCCTAGACCCGGGTTCTGGTTCTTGTACTGGGAGGTGGGGGGTGCTTCCCTCTGGGGCTGTGCCTTCTCTTCAGGGTAAGAACCCTTTCTTGGTGTTGCCTGCCCCAGGGAGAAGGTTCTTGCTATCCTTGGTATTGGTACAGCTGCTCTCTTGGATTTGAGATGCCCACGCCTCTGTGTGTGTCCCCACCATAAGGCTGAGGACTCCTCTTGGATGCAGGTGCCCCTGGCTAATGCTTCTAACCCCTCCTCTTGATTTCTTACTGTGTGGCGTAAGGAAGAAGTTCCTGGCCGTGTGATGTCAGATGCCTGAGCCTCAAGTTGGAGACTCCACTGTAGTCCCCGTCCCTGGGAACAGAGACTCCTCTGGTGTGGCCTTTCAAGGTGGGGGTTTTCAGCTCCCCATTCTATGCATGGGCTTCTCAGTGGAGATGAGAGCCTCTGCCCCAGAACCTCACATATCCTCCTTCCAGAGTCTCAGAGCCTCTGTGGCCACATCAGTAGCCACCTGGGTTAAGGATCACCCTTCATCACTTCCTGGAGCTCCTTGCTGCAGAGGCGAAAGCTCTTCCAGATCAAAGGCGCCTCATGACAAAGACCACATTGTGGGCACATGGTGTCCCCAAGATTAAGGACCGTCCGGTTAGCTCCTCAGGACGGAGCCTCCTGCCCCTCCCTCCCTCCTCAAGTGTTTGTGTGGTGGTATCATCTTCCCTGAGGTGAAGTTTGAGGGTCTTCTTTACTGGTTTTGGCCCCCGTTTTAGCGTGTTGGCTCCTGTGGGTCTGGTGTCCTCCTCACCTGACCCCTTAGCCTGGGTCCCTTCCCTGTGGGGATGAGTGTTCCTTTTGAGTAAGTCTCCTCCTGGGCCAAGGTTCACAGACTCCTCAGTGCTACTGGAGAGCCCTTGCCGCCAGAGCACAAGCTCTTCTGCGCCCAAGAGTGAACCCGCAATTGTTAGCTTCCTTGGAGGATCTTGGTGGATGCCCCCCGACTACAGCAAATGGGGCTCTTTCTTCTCTGGTGGCATCTCTGCTTCAAGACTGAAGCTCCAGCTTCTCTCTGGTCCTTTTTAGGGGGAACCAGAGGTACAGACACCCTCACACTACAGGGATTTTCTTAGTGGGGAAGGTGTTGTCTCCACTGTGGCTAAGGCTCCAGCCTCTCTAGGGGACAAGTACCCTGGGCCTTGGACACTTGCCCCTTCTTTGTGGAGGAGCTGCCTCCCCACTGGGTCTCAGCTGTTGCTTTGATGTCACATTGTTCTGTCTGAAGCATCACTTCTGGGCTAGGGCTCTTGTTCCCCTCCACCTGGCTGCTGGCACCGTCACGACTTCTCTTGCTGCCACGGTCTCCTCTCTGGGGGGTATTATTTCTCTCCACTAGGGGACCAGTCTTTTCCATGAGAAGATGCAGGGAGGGTGTCACCTCCCTAAGATGTTAATAGCCTTGTTTGGGGGTGTAGCCCATGAGACCTCTTCTTTCTCGAGGGCAGGAAGCGCCTGCCCATGCCCCTCTGTTGAGTTCCTGGGATGGAAAGAGGGGGTGTAAGCTCTGGTTCCACTTTCTTGTTCCCCCCATGCAGTAAGAGGCTTTTCTGTGTCGGGGTGTTGGACTTTGGTGAGGATCCCTGCACACCTCAGGGTTGGTGTCCAGGCCCTGGCCTCATATAAGCTCCCTAGATCAAAGGGACTTGACCTCCTCAGTCTGAGACCCCTCTGGGCACTTTCTCCTGGGTCTTTTCGTTGGTAGTGTTGCCTTAGATTCCCTTGTATGGCATGTTGGCTAACTCTAGGTGGGTGGTGCTGCTGTTTTCTTTAAGTCGGGCCTTTCACTGAGGGAGATTGAAGTTTTCTCAAGTGTAAGTTAGCACTCCTACCTTCCAGCACCAGAACCGGTCCCTGCGGGGTTGGGAGAAACCTCAGCAGGGCTGGTGAAGGTCCCAGTCCTGTCCTTTATGGGCTGCTTGTTCTAAAGCACACTTGTCCAGAGGGTTGCTGCTAGGCACAGGTGGTGATTAGTAACTAGTTAAAGATGAAAGATTCGGTTTCTCCATTACACTTGTTACATTTCAGATGCTTAGTGGCCTACAGATAGTGCACATGGACAGTGTTTCCAGCATTGCAGAGTTGTGCTGCACAGCAGTGTTGGCCAGATGCTCCCTTCCGGTGGGTGAGGACCCTCTTGGTGTGACTCTTCTCTGTATTGAGGCTCTTATTCCTCAGGATTGGGCTGCTTCTGCCTTTACATTAAGTGACTACTCCAGGGTACCCTTGCCCTGCACAAGTAGAATGGGCGCAGCCCCTGGATCTCAGGGAGCTAGGCCTTTCATGACAGGCCCCCTCCTTGGGGGGAAGAGGGGAACCTCCGCTGGCGGCTCAGGTGTCTTCTTAGCATAAGCCTCTCTCCCCAGGGCTCTTGGGTTCTTGCTGTCAGGCCCTAAGGTGTGCCCTCCCCTAGACTAGAAGCTCCTTGTAACTCCCTTTTGACCTCAGTCTCCTCTGGGTTCTATGTAACTTCCTTTAGAATAAAGATGCTTCTCTCTTTAAGTTTTGGGCTCCTGCCGTGATAGTGTCCGTTTTCCTGAGTCTAAATTAACCAATCCACTTGATATGGGATTACTTTGTGTGTGCAGATCGGCTCCCTCAGAGCTGCGGTACTTTTTCACCCTCTTATCTTAGTCAGATTTCTATCTTCTTTCAGGTCTCTCTTGGGTACTGCCTTCTGCCCCCAAATCTCTAACCCTTCTTGGTATCAGCTTCTTTGGGTTAGGAGTGTTATTTTCTTTTGGCCTAAGGATTCTGTTCTGTAATAAATTTCTTGGTGGTTTAAGTCACTTCTCCTTGGCATTCAGCGCTATCTATATGAGTGGGTTCAGATCTTCACAGTTTTAGGCACCTTTGGTCTTCGCTGTTTTCCCCCACCCCCAATCTTCCTTCCCTTACCTACAGCTTACAGACACACACACTCCGTTCCCTGTGAGCTGCCAGTTTCATTTGTCTCCTGACTTGTCTGAGGGGCGACCTCTCCTAGCCACCTCTGTACCCAGCCCCTCCGAGTAGGACATGTGATCTCCAGGGCTAATGCCTTCATCCCATGTGTCCTGTGTGCAGCATGACTTTGTCCTGCTCTGAAAAATCCTTTTGAGTGTAATCTGGGGAGAAGGCGCCCCATGCTCTAGGAATTTTCCACTTCCTGGGTCAGAGGCACACAAAAAAGTGTGTATCTTTTCTTGTTTCAACAAACTTCTAGGGTCTCTTGTTGGCCAGACACTATGCTGGGCAGTCATGTGAGCATCAGGAGAACTGGGGCTGTTCTCTGTCAGATAGCGGATGTTTCTTCTCTTTACCATTCCCACCCACCTCACTGTGCTGACTAAGGTCCATGGCTCTGGGTTTGAACCAGCCAGGGAATACATGTTAATTCCTCTCCAATCTCTCCTAGCAGCGTCCGTCTCCAAGAGAGTATGAAGACAGTGCGTCTGTAGGACAGGGAAGATGGCGGACAAGCGCAAACTCCAAGGTACTAGACTGACTTCCCACTGCACCTGTAGCCACGTGTTCCCGCTTCTGAGGACTGCTCTCTAAATCCTGCTGCCTGGGCAGGATTCTCACAGCCTTCTTCCTCCCTGGCCAGGTGAGATTGATCGCTGCCTCAAGAAGGTGTCCGAGGGCGTGGAGCAGTTTGAAGATATTTGGCAGAAGGTACAGGGGCCAAGGCCCTAATAATCTGGGTCTTCAGAGAGGAGGGCACAGGAAAAAGGCTCAGGATCTCTAGATGTTGACCAGGGAGAGAGGGGCTACATACTCAGGTGCTGAGGACCTAAGAGAATCAGTTCTAAGATGGATTGGGGATAGAGGTGTGGGGGTCTTTGAGTCCCTAGCAAAAGGAAGAATCACTGGAGTGGGTACTGGGGCGTCCCCTCCCACGCTGACTTCTGAATTCTCTCCGTCCCTCAGCTCCATAATGCAGCCAACGCGAACCAGAAAGAAAAGTATGAGGCTGACCTAAAGAAGGAGATTAAGAAGCTACAAGTGAGGGGGCTGGGGGCCTGGACACCTGTGTCCTGAGGGTAGAGGGAACTGGGAGAGTGGACTGCTGGGTCCCAGGGAGAAGGAGCTGTGGGCCCCAATTCCCAGGTACTGGGGTCTGACTTTGTTTCTTTTCCCATCTGCAGCGGCTGAGGGACCAGATCAAGACATGGGTAGCATCCAACGAGATCAAGGACAAGAGGCAGCTTATAGACAACCGCAAGCTCATTGAGACGGTAGGAGCCCAGATCCTGAGTCCCAGAGCGGGGGGGAGGTCACCTGATTCTTGAGATCCCAAGGGGTGGAGGCAGAGTGGCCAGACTCCAGAGGTTCCAAGAGAAGCAAGGTTTCTGCACCTAAGGGAAGGGAAGAGGCAGCAGACTCAGAGCTCAGAAAGTAGGGTCATGAGGCTCAGGGCTGAGTGTCTGCTGGCCCTTAGTCAGCTCCTTTCCCACCTTCGAGAGCCCCCCTGCCAACTGCACTCTCTACAGCAAATGGAACGGTTCAAAGTTGTGGAACGAGAGACCAAAACCAAAGCTTACAGCAAGGAGGGCCTGGGCCTGGCCCAGAAGGTAGACCCTGCCCAGAAGGAGAAGGAAGAGGTTGGCCAGTGGCTCACGGTGAGTTGGGGTAGAGAAGAGGAGGTGAACTCTGAGGATCCTAAGCCCTGGGCATACATGGGAACCCTGGCTGATGGCCTTCCTCTTCTTCCTCCCCTAGAATACCATTGACACGCTCAACATGCAGGTGGACCAGTTTGAGAGTGAAGTGGAGTCACTGTCAGTACAGACACGCAAGAAGAAGGGCGACAAGGATGTGAGTGAGGGAGACCCGGCACCTTCGGGAAGGGGATGGGGACGGGGATGGGCAGGCCAGCAGGAAGTGCCAGTCATTTAGTCTCCTGGGAGTTGAATCCTGGATTCCTAAGGTGGACAGGGGCCAGCAGCTGGGATTAGGGATTTGAGAGACTCGATTGGGAGGGCTTAGCAGCTGCCTGGTTGGGGCAGGGAGGAGGCCAGACCGCATTTCAAGGTCCCCTGGGTGTCTAGGTAGACAGCAGGGCCTTGGTGAAGAGGAGCGGTTTGGGGGAAGGTGAATGCAGGTTGAGCTTGGGCCCCAGAGTAAGTGTGAGACCTGAAGGACACCCATGGGAGGAGGCTTCATGGCACCCAGAGGGCCTTGGTCCCGGGGAGAGCACAGTTAGAGACAAGGCAGAATATGGAGAAAGCCGAGAACCAGGCCTGAAGGAAGAGAGGAGTCTGGGACAAAGCTGGATGCTGAGGTCCCAGGTTCTAGAATCCAGGATTGTGGGGTGTGAGTTCAGAGGGATACAAACTGTAGAGACTTGTTGAAACCAGAAAGACAAGGAGTGGAGAGCCAGGTCCTTGGGGAAGCTAGGGTGGGAGAGGGTCAGGAAGTGGATGATGACAGGGTTCGGTGTCAGACTCTGAGGGGTTTGGGAACCATGGGCTTGGAGGGGAGTTGTTGGGTCCTTCAACAGAGCAGGTATTTGGAACCGAGGCTAAGTTGTTAAATCGTAGAGTCTTTGAGGGGAGGGCGGGAGCGAGGCTTAGGAATCTGGGCTCCCTTGGGGATACATGGATAGGGTTGGGAGGCCTTGTGATGACAGAATCATCATCATTCTAAACAAGCTCCGCACGAATGGCGGTTATCATTATTATGCTGGAGCAAGCCGAGGGTGGGGGGCATGCCAGAGGTAGTCACAGCCGGTGGGTGTGTGCAGTTGAGAAATCTGGGCCGTCAGGTGAGGTGCAGGTGGAGGCCAAGTCATGGGATGGCACAGGGACCTCTGGGTCGTTTAGAGGTTTACAAGGACTCGGAGCCAGAAATGTCTGGGGAGAGGAAGGAGCAGTGGGATCCCAAGATGTCAGAAGGCTGAGATAACCTCCCACAGGGGTCAGAGGGTGGGTGGACCTCATACTGGCCCACCCCAGAAGGGGCTGGAATGGAGGCTTTGGGTCTCCACAGGGGTCAGGGACTGAGGACAGGTTCTGTGGGGGCAGGAGGGGCCGAGCAGGTGCTCTGCAGCCCCTGAGCCTGGCCCTGGGCTCGCCAGCAGAAGCAGGACCGGATCGAGGGCTTGAAGCGGCACATCGAGAAGCACCGCTACCACGTGCGCATGCTGGAGACCATCCTGCGCATGCTGGACAACGATTCCATCCTCGTCGACGCCATCCGCAAGATCAAGGACGACGTTGAGTACTACGTCGACTCATCCCAGGACCCCGACTTCGAGGAGAACGAGTTTCTCTACGATGACCTGGACCTCGAGGACATTCGTGAGGCTCTGGGGCTGATGGTGGCACAGGAAGTGAGGGCCCAGAGCAGGCTGTGAGCCAACTAAGCAGGCCCTCCTTCTGCCCCCACAGCACAGGCGCTGGTCGCCACCTCCCCCCCTAGCCACAGCCACATGGAGGATGAGATCTTCAACCAGTCCAGCAGCACACCCACCTCGACCACCTCCAGCTCTCCCATCCCGCCCAGCCCAGCCAACTGTACCACGGTGAGGCCCCACAGGGCACTAGTACCTCTTGTTTCCAGTAGGGCAGGACTTGAGGAGACAAATCCGGGTTTCTCCGAAGTGGCCAGGGGAGAGTAGTTGAGGAAACACAGATCGAGGTAGCCAGGGTCTAGGCTCTTGGAGCACACGCTAAGGTCCTATATCTGGGTCCCTCAAGGACAGAAAGAGTAATAGGGTCCATCCTGGGCCAGTTGAAGTCCTGGATGTGGGAGGCGGCAGGGGCCAGTGCTGGGGCTGCCTGAGGAGGCTGGGTAGCTTGGCCACCTTGGGCAGGGATCCAGGGGTGGGATTCCCTGTGGAGAGCAGGTTCCCAGATCCTTGGGAGGCGGGTGGCTCAGTGCTGGCTCCCGGAGAACAACATTGGAGAGCCTGAATTTAGGTGGTTTCTCCACGCAGATCAGGGACAGCCATTTGACCAGCTCTGGGGCTGCAATGGCAATCAACTGGGCCAGGTCCCCGGGACACTGAGAGATGAGTGTTTCTCTGTCAGACCCCCAGAGGTCATACAGGTTTTCTATTCCACCTTCCCTACCTCAGGAAAACTCTGAAGATGACAAGAAGAGGGGACGTTCCACAGATAGTGAAGTCAGCCAGGTGGGTGTGAGCCTGGAATTGACGGGCGTGCCATTCACTTATTTGTTGGTTCCCAAAGGCATATTGAGGCCCGAGTGCTGGCCCTGGGCTCGGCTGGTGGACACAGATGGGTCAGAAAGCAGTGCTGCCCTGAGGGCAGGTGGGCAGGCAAGTAGACAGGTGACTGGTGCCGTGGAGTGGCACAGGCCACCTCCAGCCCGGCCAGGCAGATGCTGGAGATGGTGCTGCAGAGGGCCCTGGGTTTCAGAGTCAGGTGAATTTGCCCGGCAGGGAGAGGCAGTAGCAGTAACACAGGCAGGTTGTGACAGAAAGCTTGGAAGTGTGGAGAGATGAGGCCAGTCAGGTCTGTGGGGCCAGGGGCCCAACTACGACCACAGGGACTGGAATTGTCAGGCTGAGGGGCTCAGGTTTTGTGGACCTGAGCGGCCTCCACTGCCAAACAAGCTTGGGAAGTGATGGGGCCTCGGTGGTGCGAGTAACACATACTGCGTGTTTCTGAGAGAAGACAGTGGTGTGCAGCACTTCTCCACCTCCCCTAACATCTCCCAGGACAGCAGCACACTTCAGAAAACGCTGCTACAGAAGAGAAGAATGTTAGGCAGGAGCAGCCGGGGCCTGAGGCCCCTCTGTGGGCTGATGGGATGGATGGTTCCAAGGGGACACCCTGAGGAGGCTGGTGTGGAGACTAAGGGGACCTGCAGGTAGTGGGGAAGGTGGGCAGCAGGGCCAGGTGGTGATGAAGAGAGACGCTGAGGTAGGGACTCCAGGTGCCAGGCTGGGCTCTGCCACCTTCCCAGGCCCCCACCGCCAAGCAGTGATCGTAGGAGAGACGTGGGTAGTCAGTCCTGCTGGGTGCCTGGTAAGCGCAAGGTGCCCGTCGGGTGGGTGGAAAGAAGCCAGGAGGCGGTTAGGTTCAGCAGCCTAAGTTGCTGTTGGCAGCATGCCTGTGGTGGAGATGCCAGGAGCACGTTTACCCTCCCACCACTTTCGGGAGCGCTGGTAATTTACGGCCCTGTGAGTAGTTTCTGTGACCCTTCCAGTGACATTCAGAATTACTATCCAATTTCCAGCTGTTTTTCCTTCTACTCTTAGACATTAGGCTGCTCCAGCTAATCACATATTGAGGACACTTAGGTGTTCCTCACTAGTCCCCTGGCTTCCGACAGATGGATCTTCTCTGGCTGACAACCTAAGTTGTGTGTCAGATCCCTGTGGGGGCGTTCGTGGGGCGGTGTCCAGGCAGGACTTGGGAAGCTGGGCAGGCTGGAAATTAGTGTGAGCGTTTTAAGCATGAAGGTGATGCAAGCCATGAGGGTGAGTAAAGTCACCCAAGTTCCCAGGAGGGCGGACGCTGTTGGGGGCAGCGAGGCCAGAAAGGAGGCTGCTAGGCCAAAAGTGGACCGGAGGTGGGGGTGGTGAGGGGGACCATAGGGCCCCCTGCGTCCTGACCCTCTGCTCTCTCCCACCCGCAGTCTCCAGCCAAAAACGGCTCCAAGCCTGTCCACAGCAACCAGCACCCTCAGTCCCCAGCTGTGCCACCCACCTACTCCTCTGGCCCCCCGCCCACTGCCTCTGCCTTGAGCGCCACCCCTGGCAACAATGGGGCCCCTGCCCCAGCAGCACCCCCAAGTGCCCTGGGCCCCAAGGCCAGTCCAGCTCCCAGCCACAACTCGGGCACCCCTGCCCCTTATGCCCAGGCTGTGGCCCCACCAGCTCCCAGTGGGCCCAGCACCACCCAGCCCCGGCCCCCCAGCGTCCAGCCCAGTGGAGGCGGTGGAGGTGGCGGCGGAGGCGGAGGGAGCAGCAGCAATAGTAACAGCAGTGCCGGTGGAGGGGCTGGCAAGCAGAATGGCGCCACCAGTGAGTGGGGAATCATCGGGGTGGGGGGCGCGGGCGGGGCTGGGCAGCAGCCGGCAGCCCTTTCCATTCGCTCTTTGTTCCCAGGTTACAGCTCAGTTGTAGCAGACAGCCCAGCAGAGGTGGCTTTGAGCAGCAGTGGGGGCAACAATGCCAACAGCCAGGCCCTGGGCCCCGCTTCCGGCCCTCACAACCCACCTCCCAGCACCTCGTGAGTGTCTTGGCCGTCGGCAGGGTTGGGGTGGCAGCCTTTTGGCAAAGAGAGGCACTGGTGCCTCGCCCCCACCTCGATGGGTTCTGGGCCCCCCACCCTTGATCCTGGGAACGTCCCGTGAGTGCTGTCCTCCACCTCCATCAGGTGTTGTGCCCCCACTTCTTTCCAGAAAGGAAACTATCAGCCTCTCTGCTTTGCCCTTCATAACGTTCTAAAATATGTTCTCATCTAAGTGGAAGTTGTCTCAAGAGCCCCACACCCTTTCTTCCCCATTTCTGTTACCCACCCGAGGCTACTTGACTGCCACAGGAGGTCACTGTTCCACTTTTCACATTGAATTGTCCCGCAGTCCTCATTCCTCTGTAGCTACTCCTCCAAATCTTAGCTCAGACGGTTCCACTGGATCTCCCTGTTTCCCGAAGAATGACCCAAGAAAGCGCTTAATTCACAATGTGCACAAAGGAAAGGCCTTCCTGGCCCCCTTGCCCAAGCCCCAGCTGGCCTGCCCAAGTCAGCCTGTGTAGCCTGGTGGAGCACCCAAGAATCCTCCCCCCCATCCCCAAAGCTCTGCTCTACTGATGAGAAACTGTTCCAAAAATTGGGCTCTGCCTTCGTTTGCCCAGAGAGCCACTTCTTCTCCCATCTGTCTGCCCCCAGCCCCCTCAGATCCCTTCTGATTGGTGCAGGCTCCCCTCTCTCCAGCCAGGCCGCTCTGCCCCTCCCACCCTCAGGAGCCTCCTCTGAGCCCCTCTCCTCCATGCTCTCTCTCCAGGAAGGAACCCAGTGCGGCAGCCCCGACAGGGGCTGGGGGCGTGGCCCCAGGCTCAGGGAACAACTCGGGGGGACCCAGCCTCCTGGTGCCACTGCCTGTGAATCCTCCCAGCTCCCCAACGCCTAGCTTCAGTGATGCCAAGGCAGCTGGTGCCCTACTCAATGGGCCTCCGCAGTTCAGCACCACCCCGGAAATCAAGGTGGGCTCCTCAGATACCCCCTGAGCCTCTGTATCCTGACTGCTGTCTGCACTCCAGACATTTCTGTCCCTTTCCTCCAGGTCTCTAGCTGCACACCCTCCCCGCCTTTCTGGATTTCGCTCTCCGGCTTTCTGTCCCCTTCCACTCTTGCTCTTTCTCCAGGTCTTTCTGTACCACGTTCCCCCGACCACGGTCTCTGGGAGCGCTCTCACTCCCCTCTTGCTCCCTCTGAAGCCGTTTCTCTGGGTCTCTTCCTTTCTCTTGGTTGTACTTGTTGCTTGCTCTCTCTGGGTTTCATCTTCATCTCCCCCAGGCCCTCAGCTTGTGTCCCCGTTTGTCTTTACAAAGCATACCAGTCTTTCTACTTCACATGACCCCTTACCTAGCTCAGTACCCTCCTTTTCCTAGCCAAGAAACTGTTTCAGTCAAGGTAGCACTTGCTGAAGTCCACCTGGGGCCAAACTTGGTGTTGGGTGAATGCAGCCTGCTTCCTCCCTTTAGGAAGCTTCCCTGCTGGGGTGGCTGCAGGGGAGGTTGCTGTGGGTCCCCTGAAGGACATGTGACCTGACCTGGGAGCGGCCAGGAAGGCTCTGTGAGGGGGTGGTTTCAGCTGAAACCTGCAGCAGCCAGGGGTCTAACAGCTGCAGGAAGGGCTTCAGGAGGAGTGCGTGCGTGCGTGCTGCGGCGGCTGGACAGGATGCAGCAGAGAGGAGCAGGTATCCACGCTGCAGGAGGCAGTGCCGCCGGCTGTGGGGCTGAGTGCAGGAGGACAGGAGTGGAGGTTCCTGATCGTGGAGGGTCAGGAGCTGGGGCTTGGCTTGTGAGCCAGGATACTGTAGCGTAGCTTCCACCGGGAGGCAGTGCACCCCAGGCGGGCCAGGTGCAAGTCTTGGCATTGTCTTTTCTGTGCTTGCCTTCATCTGGGAAATGGCAGTAATCACGATGATATCTACCATACAGGATTATTTGGAAGAGTAATTTATCATGGTAAAGCTCTTGGAACAGTTTTTGGCCCAATAGAAGCATTCCTTTTTTTTTTTTTTTTTTTTTTTTTTTTGAGCCAGTCTTGCTCTGTTACCCAGGCTGGAGTGCAGTGGTTCGATCTCAGTTCACTGCAGTCTCCACCTCCTGGGTTCAAGTGATTCTCCTGCCTCAGCCTCCCAAGTAGCTGGGATTACAGGTGCCCAGCACCCCACCTGGCTGATTTTTGTATTTTTAGAAGAGATGGGGTTTTGCCATGTTAGGCAGGCAGGGCTTGAACTCCTGACTTCAGGTGATCCACGCACCTCGGCATCCCAAAGTACTGGCATGAGGCACTGCGCCCAGCCCAAATTTTAGAAGTACTGTGGACAGGAAACTTATACTGTGTGCATTTTGGTAGAAAAAGGGAAACAGTAAGCTTTGAGATTTTCAAAAGGGGTTCATACCTTTTGACACCACCAGCAGCGAAAATGAATCACTGCGGTGGGTGGTCAGGAACTATATGGCAAGGTTTGAAGTCAAGAAGGAAAAACATGACTTCATTGGAAAGGTCCCTGGGGCTGAGGACAGGATAGAGGGAGGGTGGTCTGGGCGGAAGAGGACAGGCCCGGGCTGTGTGGGGCATGGTGGCATGACAGGTTAGAAGCAGGACGGATAAGCCTTGGTGACTAAAGCGTTGTGGAGAGGATAGCACAGGGCTGGGGTTAGGGACAGCTGTCTATGACCTGAGTAGATGGAGGAACCAGGTCTGACTTTGGAGAACAGAAGCCTGCTGTAGCCTTTGTAATAGGAAAGGAGGCTGTGGCGGTAGGGCTGGAGGCCCAGCCTACCTGTTACCAGGAAGAAGACCGAATCCTAACAGGGCTGGGCCTGCCCCCACCCCAGTCACCCCATGCCAGTCAGAGGCAGACAGCTGAGCATGTAGTCCTCCTGCCTCCTTTGAGACAGGCGGGGGCTCTCCCAGCGTGTAGGCGTCCCTAGTGAAGGAGCATGTACTGTTGGCTCATCCTTGGACAGAAATGGTAGCGCACCGTACATGTTCTGCAGGTTGGCATTTTCCTCTGTAGTATGTCACGAACTTGTGTTTTGAAAAAATCTGCACTGTATTCCATGGCGTAGAGTCCCACTTACTAGATACTCATCTGCTGATGAGTGCGTCAGTGGGTTCCCTTGTTTGATGCTTTTACCTTTTATGGTTAGATCATGAGGAGTGGGTCACTGGCCCTCTGTAGCCTCCCAGCAGAGCAGGTTAAGAGCATGTGGGGCCTACGTCAGGCTAAGCTTGCTCCTGCAGCCCAGGTGCTCAGGCCAGGCCTCTGGTTTCCTCCCCAGGCCCCAGAGCAAACTTTGAGCTCCTTGAAGTCCATGGCGGAACGGGCAGCCATCAGCTCTGGCATTGAGGATCCTGTGCCAACGCTGCACCTGACCGAGCGAGGTGAGGGTCCCAGGATGGTGGGGAAGCAGTGGGCCAAAGAGGGGGGACTGGCCCTGACCCATCCTCACCACTGAGGGGGCCCCCTCCCCCGCTTTCCCCACAGACATCATCCTCAGTAGCACATCAGCACCTCCGGCCTCAGCCCAGCCACCCTTGCAGCTGTCAGAGGTCAACATACCGCTGTCACTGGGTGTCTGTCCACTGGGCCCTGTGCCCCTCACCAAGGAGCAGCTCTACCAGCAGGCCATGGAAGAGGCCGCCTGGCACCACATGCCTCATCCCTCTGATTCTGAGCGTATCCGGTGAGGGGCCGCAGGAAAGGGCGTTGGGCTGGGACTCGAGTCTTAGTGAGGAGGCAGGGGATGGATCTGTGAGGCTGTGGATCAAGGGGGCCAGGCCCCTGACTGGGCTCCCCACTGAAGGTCAGCACTGCCCTGGGTCTTTCTGTACCAGCCCCCGCCCGGGAATGCATTTCTGAGCCCTCTTGATGAGGGCAGGACTGGTAGGCAGCTCGCACTGACCTTCCTGATGCTCCCACAGGCAGTACCTCCCCCGGAACCCCTGTCCGACGCCCCCCTACCACCACCAGATGCCACCCCCACACTCGGACACTGTGGAGTTCTACCAGCGCCTGTCAACCGAGACACTCTTCTTCATCTTCTACTATCTGGAGGTACAGCAGGGCCCCCGGGGCAGCCTCGGGCCCCCCGGCTTCGCCGCCACCGCCGCCGTCCCCCCTCGGGCTGGAGGGGTGAGGTGGGTGCCCCACTGCGGCCACTGGGACCGCACCCCCTCCCTATTCCCAGTCCTGGGCCCCCCAGCCTCCTACCTAAATCAGCCTGTCCCTGTTCCTGCTTCCAGCCCAGAGGTGTTAGAACTGCCTGGGTTGAGCGAGGCCAGTCAGCCGCAGCATGCCCCAGACCCACTTCCGGTGGCTCCCTGGCTTACTGGGGCCCCTCCCCAGCCCTGGTCCAGCAGCCTCCGTCTAGGCTAACCCCACTCTGCTCAGCAGCACATTCTCAGGCCTCCCTGGAGACCACTGGGGAACTGTCCAACCTACTCCCAACCCCAGTGAGTGACCTCCACAGCCCCTCATCCCCACTTCGGAAATGTTCTAAATTGCCTTCTCTCTCAGCTCTCATCACACAATAGTTTTTCTTCCTTCTCAAAGCTTCTCTGAAATTAATTTTCACCTCCTGTCTCATTTTCCTTCTCCTGACCAGCATTGGTATGTTCTGTGCCCCAGATTGTCCAGCTCAACTGTGGTCTGTGGCGGGGGCCGGGGTTCAGCCCTCATGTCCTGCCCTGTCCCCCTGGCTCCCCACTAACTTTGTGGGGCTCCTGATCCCCTTCTCCACCTTTACTTCCCCAGGGCACTAAGGCACAGTACCTGGCAGCCAAGGCCCTCAAGAAGCAGTCGTGGCGATTCCACACCAAGTACATGATGTGGTTCCAGAGACACGAGGAGCCCAAGACCATCACTGATGAGTTTGAGCAGGTGAGGGCCCCGCCCCCTCTCTTCCTACTGCTAGGGTTGGGGTAGAATCCCCAGGCTCCAGGCAGTCCCTGCCAGCCTCTGCTCCCTTGCCTCCACCTTTCAGGTGGTGCAGTCCCTCAGCCTGACCAAGCTCTGCTTCACTCTGGCTGTTTGCTCTGCCTGGAGAACTGCCTTTCCTCCCCCAGTGGGCCGGCCCCTACGCCTCCTGTAGGCCTCAGCCCCAACGGACCTTCCCAGAGCCACCTGGTCCAGCGCCTCTCCTGTGCAGTGCTGGGCACTCACTTGGGTGTGGGATTTTCCCGGCGAGTCTCCCTGCACAGGCTGTGGGTTCTGCTGCCCAGGGACCTTGATGGCCCCTTCCACCACCAGGTCCCAGCACCCAGCACATAGTCAGTAGGGAAGCTATTTTTTTTTTTTTTTTTTTTTTGAGACGGAGTTTTGCTCTTGTTACCCAGGCTGGAGTGCAATGGCGCGATCTCGGCTCACCGCAACCTCCGCCTCCTGGGTTCAGGCAATTCTCCTGCCTCAGCCTCCTGAGTAGCTGGGATTACAGGCATGTGCCACCAGGCCCAGCTTTTTTTTTTTTTTTTTGTATTTTTAGTAGAGACGGGGTTTCACCGTGTTGACCAGGATGGTCTCGATCTCTCGACCTCGTGATCCACCCGCCTCGGCCTCCCAAAGTGCTGGGATTACAGGCTTGAGCCACTGCGCCTGGCTGGGAAGCTATTTTTTTAAATGGTCTTTTCAAGTTCTAAGAATTGGCAATTCATGCTTCTTGCAAATACTCTGAAGCCAGCCTGCCTGGGTTTGAGCCCAGCTCTAGCTGAGTGACTTTGGGCAAGTCACTTGAACCCCTGTATCTTAATTTCCTTATCTGTAAAAACTGGGGGGAAGAGGCCTAATGCAGTTGTTATGAAGATTAAATGAGTTAATAACATGTAAGTAAGTATTGGATGCTGACTGCTACAGAGTAAGTGTCATGAATTTTTTTTTTTCAAATTACTTACAGTTGGTGTGTTCTACAGCGATTTTTTTCCCCACCAAGGACTTCCCTGATGCCAAGCCCCTTCACGGGGATGAATATTGCAAGGTCCTTGTCCTCAGAGAACTCAGTCCCCTCTCCTAGTTCTCCCAGGCTGCTGTTCTTGAAAGCATTTCAGACGTACATTCATTCAGAAGCTAGCTCCTCTCCCATCGTGCCCTCAGACATCATTAACTACCGACCTTCCACCCTCTCCTGGTTTGGCCCAGAACCATCCTCCAAGTTAGTACATTTCAGGGCATCCAGTCATTCAGAAATTCCCACACCTCTGCCACTGCCAATAAAATATCCCTGCAGAGTGCTTAGACTCTGAGCCTGTTCCATTCTTTAGAACAAGGGTGACAGTACCCGCTGCCTCGAGGTCTTTGTGAAGATTAAATGCTAGGCCGTGCATCCTGTACTTGCACGAGAGAGGTGCTCAAAAGCCACAGCCCTCGAGAATACAAAGGCCTTGTACTCACGCCTGGAGCTGGGACCCCACTCTGGCCTCGGTGGAACCTCTCTGCCGTTTCCTCCTTGACGAAGTAGGCATGATGTTTAGAACCCAAGAAGAACCTTGTGAGGGTGGAATGAGGGCACGTGTGTGCAGGGCAGCTGGCCCAGTGCCTGGCACATCCACAGGCCTAAGAACTGTCCCCTTTGTCTGTTGGTCCGGCCCAGATCCCAGACCACCTCTTCGTCCACTCACTGACCGCCTTCTCCCCCGGCCAGGGCACCTACATCTACTTTGACTACGAGAAGTGGGGCCAGCGGAAGAAGGAAGGCTTCACCTTTGAGTACCGCTACCTGGAGGACCGGGACCTCCAGTGACACCGGCCCCTCCCTCTACCTACCCCCTCCCCCGCATGCTGATCCCCCTGCCCAGGTGAGGGCCCTGCCCTGGAAGACTGGAGGGAGGCCCCAGGCCACGGGGCATCCCCCTCTCCCAGGAGGCAGGGAGGGGGCCGGGAGGTTTCTTCTCAGCCCCACCCTGGGGGCCCGGGGGCGAGGGCTGCCCCCTCCTCCCCTCCCCAGTGAGGGACATTTTTTGGTAAACCTATTTTCATTTTGGAAAATATTTATGAATAAATAGTTTTATATGACGGCTGGCAGCAGCGGTCTCTCCTGTACCCCCTCAGGAGTCAGTGAGCAAGGTGAGGGTCCTGCTGGCGGGGACGCCGGGCCAGCTGCGGGTTGAACTGGGAATTGTACCGCCGCCGCCGGTCGTCTGTCTCTTCCTCTTCCTGCTTACCCTCCTGTGGTGCCCGGCCTTGGACCCGGGCCAGCAGGGCCTCCGCTCGAGCCCTCTCGGCTGCTTCCCTCTGAAGACGTTCAGCTCGAAGCTGGTCCAGGGACAGAGGCCTGTAGGGAGAGGACTGAGGTCAGAAAGCTGGTTGCCCCTAGGAGGCTGTTCCCCCAAACTCTCCCAGAGGGAGCTGTCACCAGGAACCCTGGCCTGCATCCAGCACACCCCAGCCTTGGCTCTTAGGGCCTGCTGAAGAAGCCACCTGGTGCTGGGACGCCATGGGCACATCTCTGGCCTTCCTTCCTGTGGGCTTTAGTCCTCCCCAGTCTTTAAAATGTGATGCTCCTCCAGATCAAGAAAGCACACTCAGCAGCCCCTGGTGCTCTCTGGGCCTCAGCTTCCCTTTCTGGAGAAAAAAAGATGACAGGCAGCATACCCTCCCTAGAGCAGCGGTACAGTATCCTGGGGATATAAGCCTGCTTTTACAGTCCAGCCCAGCGGTTCTCAAACTCTTTGGGCTCAGGACCCCCTTTATACTCTTAAAAACTGAGGACCCTGGCCGGGCGCGGTGGCTCAAGCCTGTAATCCCAGCACTTTGGGAGGCCGAGGCGGGTGGATCACAAGGTCAAGAGATCGAGACCATCCTGGTCAACATGGTGAAACCCCGTCTCTACCAAAAATACAAAAAAAATAATTAGCTGGGCATGCTGGCACGTGCCTGTAATCCCAGCTACTCAGGAGGCTGAGGCAGGAGAATTGCCTGAACCCAGGAGGCGGAGGTTGCAGTGAGCTGAGATCGCGCCATTGCACTCCAGCCTGGGTAACAAGAGCGAAACTCCGTCTCAAAAAAAAAAAACTGAGGACCCCAAGAACTTTTGTTTAAATGGGTTCTGTTAATATAACGCAAATCAGAAGTGAAAACTAAGAAAACTTGGACATAAGTATCTGCCTGAGAACGAGTATAAAAGGCAAACAGTATTAGGAAAATAGGCTTGACACCACAGCACGCCCCGGAAAGGGAGTCAGGACCCCTAGGGCTCCCTGGACCACGTGCTGAGAACCGCTGTTCCAACCAGAGCTCCTGCTGTTTGTGCTAGGCTGCTGCCAAGCCCTGAAGATCTGGGTCCTGGCCTGCCAGGGCAGGGTCCTCCTTACCCCTTGGGTCGCCGTTTCTCAGACCCCTCCTTCTTTTCCTTTCTCCTGTGACTGCCTTCATCACTGCTGTGCCGTCTCTTCTTCCCCAGATGCTTCTGCATCTCCCGCAAAGGGTCCAGGCGGCTCTTGATCTTCTCATCTGGGGCTGGGCCAGGTGGGTGGCCCCCTCGCTCTGGTGGGAGCTGGTACCAAGGGGGTTGAGTCTGGGACTCCGCTGCACTTTGGCCCAGATATGTCAGGATGCCCAGAGCTTTCTCTTGTCTCTCCTGAGGGGGTCAGGAAATAAAAAGAGATGGGTTATAATCTTTCAGGGTGTCAGGTTTATCTCCCTGACACAGGTATCTAAGGCCTATCATGAAGCAGCTGTGCCAGGTGCTGGGGAGGGAAGAGACCAGCAGAGGCCAAACTCCTGCCCTGGGGGGACAATGGCAGGGACAGTCACAGAAAGCAGAGGAAGGAGGGGATGGAGTGGAGCAGCGTGAATGTTCAGAGGCAGGAGCTAATCTACCTTTTACAGGAGCTAATCTACCTTTTACACTCGATCTTAGCCAAAAGGTAAGAAGTGATTGACTCACCTTTTTTTTTCATTTTTTTCTGAGATGGAGTCTTGCTCTTGTCACCCAGGCTAGAGTGCTGTGGTATGATCTCAGCTCACTGCGACTTATACCTCCTGGGTTCAAGCAATTCTCCTGCCTCAGCCTCTGGGACTAAAGGCACACGCCACCATGCTCAGCTAATTTTTTTTGTATTTTTAGTAGAGATACCATGTTGACCAGGCTGGTCTTGAACTCCTGACCTCGGGTGATCTGCCCACCTCAACTTCCCAAAATGCTGGGATTATGGGCATGAGCCACCGCCCAGCTAATTTTAGATTTTTTTTTTGAGATGGAGTTTTTGCTCTTGTTACCCAGGCTGGAGTGCAATGGCGCGATCTCGGCTCACCGCAACCTCCACCTCCTGGGTTCAGGTAATTCTCCTGCCTCAGCCTCCTGAGTAGCTGGGACTACAGGCACGCGCCACCATGCCCAGCTAATTTTTTGTGTTTTTAGTAGAGACGGGGTTTCACCATGTTGACCAGGATGGTCTCGATCTCTTGACCGTGTGATCCACCCACCTCGGCCTCCCAAAGTGCTGGGATTACAGGCTTGAGCCACCGCGCCCGGCCCGGATTTAGATTTTAAAAAGCCCATCAGGTTTGAGACCCCTCCAGTTTGGAGACCTGAGGAGTTTGCCTAGCACCTGGGAATCTCGAGCATCTACCTCCAAGCCCTGGGGGCACCCAAATGGCAACAGCCACCACTTCTGAGTGTCATGCTTTGGTATGGTTCTACACTCTGAGTGTTTACTCTTGTTTAGCCTTAGTCACAACCAGTGGCTCAAGTGCCCCTCCCTCCAGTTCCATTCATGTCTCTTCTGATGAAGTGGATAATGCCAGCTTACTTTCTCCTGTCGCTTTTCTTCCTCATGCTCTTTATTGCCTCTAATAAGGCCTTTCCCGTCCTCCAGCAGCTCTCGAAACAGGTCCACCGGGCCAGAACTTGGGGCTCCCACCTCCGCTGCCTCCAGCTGAGGCACTGAGTTCTGATGCCTGGCTTTCTTTCGTAGGAATTCTGTACGGGCCTGGGGAGAAAGTTACAGGCAAGATATTAAAAACCTAGAGGTAATTCAAGAACGTTTAAGTCTGGTGCCCACCACAGGAAACAGCAGTCCAGGATGCTGGGGTTATAAGAAAGGGAGCACTCAGTGCCTACAAGAGGCACCTGTCCTAGCTCAGGCTGAGGGTAGGCAGATAATGCAACACCTGGGTTTTATAAACTGCCTTATCAAGGATGACTGGGAGGAGGTCCCTGGCCTAAAACAAAAGGGTTCCTAACCTCAGATGAAACAATTAAAACAGCCACAAAGGTAAACTGCATTAGGTCAGATGATCTAGATTCCAGGCATGGCTCCAAGTCATTACCCCAAGTCCACTGATGAAACCCCGTCTCGCCTTCAGGAAAACGCGCTCCTACCTCCCTCCCACTGTGGAGGATCAGATTGGCTAAGGAACTGAAAGTTAGGTGTACACCAAACAGATTTAAGGAGCTATACGTAAAGCCCCTGTCTGTGTGTGTGTCTAGCGGGTGGTGCAGGGAAAGGGCTAGCCCGAGGGGGTGGAGCCTTCCCCTCCCTTGAAACCATCTCACTTCGTGCCACGGAGATGACAATGTCTCTTTAAGAAAGAATGGTGCGCCGGGCGCGGCGGCTCACGCCTGCAATCCCAGCACTTTAGGAGGCTGAGGCAGGTGGATCACGAGGTCAACAGATCGAGACCATCCTGGTCAACATGGTGAAACCCCATCTCTGCTAAAAATACAAAAAATTAGCTGGGCATGGTGGCGCGTGCCTGTAATCCCAGCTACTCAGGAGACTGAGGCAGGAGAATTGCCTGAACCCAGGAGGCGGAGGTTGCGGTGAGCCGAGATCGCCCCATTGCACTCCAGCCTGGGTAACGAGAGCGAAACTCCGTCTCAAAAAAAAAAAAAAAAAAAAAAAAAAACAACTTATGGGGGATTCTGGAAGTCAGGCGTTCTGCATGTAGTTAGCATACAGTAACTGCACAATAAATAGACTGTGCAAGCAAACTAAAAAGGGATCAGAATTTCCTTTAACTGTCCAAAGAATCATGAATCTAGTAAACATTTATGCTTCTCTTTTGTGCTAGACACTGCTCTAGCCATGTGAAACACATCAGTGGGGGAAAACTAAGACGAGGGAGCAAGGGAGATTTCGTGGAGGTGGGCAGAGTTTGCCGAGCAACGTCTTCAGAAAAGAGATCGGCACCTAGTCAATAATTACATACGGAGCAGACGGCGCCTGCGCAACGCCTCCACTTCCGGCCCCCTATCATGGCGCCTGCGCGCTGGGCCCCGGAGTTCCGCCCGGCCGGCCCCCGGGCTTACCTCTTGCTGAGCCAGCAGCACCCTCCGCTCACGCTCCTTCTCTTCCTCCCGGGCCTGGGCCTCGTCACGCCGCACGCGGGCAACATTGTCCTTGTTCCGGACGTGCCAGCTCTTCTTGGGCAAGATATTCATGGCGTCGTAGCAGTCCACGGACTGGCACGCCCGCCTCTTTACACTTCCGATTGGCGAGAGAATGTCCCCTCCCTCTTGTCCCTACTTCGACCACAGATTGGTTCTGAACTCATTGGTACAGCCCCCTGACCTGTAAACGACAGATGATTGGCTGAGACGCCCTTTATCTCGGCGAACGCCAGGCTTTTGGTGCGTGGTATCCCCTAGCAACCGCTTATCACAAATCTGAGCCAATCGTGAATTGGCCCGCCCCTAATACCAGATTCGGCCGCCGATTGGCCGACACAACCATCAAGTCTCCTTGCACTTCGCACGGCCACACATTCCCATGCATTTGATTGGCTCCTACCCTGCTGTAGCCCTGCCCCCAACTTCAGGACGCAGATTTCAAAGCGCGCTCAGGCACCTCGGCTATATTTATTGATAGAAGGATCACCCGAGTGTCTGGGACGTGGCGGCGAGGGTCCCAGGAAATCTCCAGATCCCAGAGCTGGAAGAGCGTGGCGTCTCCAGTTCTCCTAGTTTTACAGATGTGACCTAGGCTTACAATTGGCCTGGGGTCTGAAGGTGGGACATGTGCTGCAGGGGTCAAAAAGCCGGGTTGGTGGTACTCAGCGCCACAGCGCGCCGTGCCAGGAAGACCTTATTCTGCGCC